ATATATATATATATATATATATAAGTTTTCTTCCCATCGTGTAGATTACCGGCGTGAGTCTGGTAACTGTGACTTTCAGGTCTTCAAATCTGAATGTTACATTCTTATAACTGGTGTTTACGACCATTATTCTATTCTACACTGAGGCAATAAAAGGTATGAAAGAAATTGTTAGCTGCCGATAGCAAAAAGATTCACCTGACTGAGCATCAAAATATGACTCCAGTAACTTGCTCTCTGATTTATCCGAAGACAACTTTTTCTTATCTATTCTTTCAAGCTCAACGGTGCATTGACTATATGCACTCTGGATGGTGTTAACGCCGAAATCGTACAGGAGGTGGGACGAGAGAATGCTTTCGTTTTTGGGCGTTCGGTGGAAGAAGACAAAGCTCTCCGGGCTAAAGGGTAAGTACTTTCTCCCCGGAGATTCTACATAATTTATACATTACGTGAACAAATAAGAGGTTGAATGATTTCTCGCGTAATTAGGCGAAGGGTTTTGTGACACTCAAGATAAATAGACTCCAAAATGCCAAATGAGAGCAACAACTTTCCAACAGATTTGAGAGGCAATTTTGACTTTTGCTTAGTACTTCCCTCCATAACCCTAATGATTACTACGACACAAATTAACAAACTATTACAAGGATAACATACCCAATTTATTTAATAAAATTCATCTGATGTACGATCGGGAATTGAACGACAAACGGTAAACCACAGCTTCATTTTTCACCATATTTTAACGAGCTTGAACCTTCTGTAGGGTTCCCCTGGTTACTACGAATGGCAAATAAAAGCTGCTAATTCTCTTTAGAATAATTCTTTCCATACTGATGTTTTGAAACAAACGGAGGTCTTTTTGAAGTCGAAATGGTTCCGGTGATCAGTGAAGAGACAAATTGGAATCATCGGTGAAGGTGTTTCATAATTGGCAGTTCAATATCTCTCTTTAATACAAAATTATTCATTTGGCCATTATGCAGACAAATAGTGATCCTTGATCTCCAATTCTATTCTTCTCAGAAACTCATGATGCCTCACATTTCATGTTTATCTATAAATGCAATCAATGACGCTCATACCGTTTAAACTGCATCCTTTGCAATGCTTTTATTTTCCACTTCACCCAATTTGACATTCTACAGTCTACATATGAAACTTTCAGTGCATGACATTTTCACAAAGCCAACCTTTTTCTTCCCTAACCATCCAGATACGATCCACGCAAGTATATTGCAGCCAACCCGGAACTAGCTCACTGTCTTGAACAGATTCGTAGCGGTTACTACAATCCCGCCGAACCTGATTTGTTCCAAGACATTTATCGATCTCTTGTCACGGAAGACCGTTTTCTGATTTGTGCAGATTATGAAGACTACATGCGGGCACAGGCTGAAGTGGAACGAACCTACAGCGTAAGTAGCTAGAAAAGTCTGACTATTGAAAAGTTTGTTCTTTTTATGAGAAATTATTATCCTAGTCGATCTGAGTTTCACGCAATTTATTGTTAGGTCAGTGAGCGTTAAGCTTTTATTCAGTTTATGATAAAACCTCACTGTGGATGTGAGAACAGTCCATTATAATGTTCAGAACACGAGTTGGAATAAATCAAGTTTTGCTTTAACCATTTCTGTGTTCCACTGCGAATGGGTGATTATCGAGTTTTAGATTTAATACAAGATTTGACACTTGTCAGAAACATCGTTATTTCGGCAGGACGGTTAAAATTACCCATTATGAGGGACAGGTGTGAACTTTCGTGGAAGGCATTCTTCATGGTTTGCGACAGAATCATTAGCTAAGTCTAAAGATTCGAAATGTCGGTACATGACACCGAGTAGACATATCGTTTTCCAGAGGTTTAGTAAACATCACATTGAATCTGAGGCTCCATTTGGGGTTTTTCACACAAGATTGTTTTCATGGTAACGTAGCGCTCCACCGTATTGCGTAGGACGACCACGTCTGAGCAACGATAAATCGACATTCCGAGTCAAGAATATAGGTGGTCAACCAGGTTTTCAGTGATAGCAACAATACCACACCCTTTGGTTTCATAAAGAAGTTCCATTTCGCAGATTTTTTGGAGATTAACTCGTGATATAATAGCACGAAAAGTATTTTCGGTACAGAAACCAACTTACTGTCGGCTAACATTGTTTTTTGGAATTGGTTTCGTCGGTATGGTGAATGTGGAGTGTTAAAAAAGCGCTAGTCAAAGAAGATAAAATGTCACTACCGGTTTCCGTTATCGAGCTTTGCTAGGATCCAGTATTATGCGGTGATCTCAGGCATAATTCCGGCGGAAACCTTTTTCTAATCTCCTTCCACGACAGTAACACTAAATTGGCCATTTCTGGCGTTACAACGGTCACTTCCATTATCCTCGGGCCGTTCCCGGGACCTTGGGCATTACCTTAAATATTTAACTATTTGGTTTGATTTTCAACTCATTTTGTATTGTATCGTATCGTATGCAAGCAATCATGCATACATCTCAACCATTTTGTTTCACGAGAATTTATCATTCATCATATTTTTTTAATATAGTTTTTAACAATTACTCTTCTTCTTTGACTCGATCATTTTACNCCCCCCTCCCCGCTTCCAGAACGAAGCCAAATGGTCTCGGATGGTTTTGTGTAATATTGCTGGAGCTGGTCGGTTCTCATCTGATCGTACTGTGGCTGAGTACGCCCGAGAAATGTGGAACGTGGAACCCTCTGAATCCAAACTTCCGCCACCAACTGAACCACTTGAACCCAAATTGCCCAAGTTCTACATTGGTATTTAGCGTAAACACCCTGATAAGGACCAATCTGACCCCTTCAACATCAAATATGTTCACTGATTTCGAAGAAACACATCATTTCTTTTTTCGCAAACCAACACCCCCTTGTTGGTTGCACTTCAATCGGTGTTCATCACGTAACTGTATACATTCAACTACAATGAGAGCACCACTTTATCCAATGCTCTTCCTTGTCTTCCGTAAAATCCTTTTTTGGTTACCAAGACAGAGTCTGGTTGATAATTTTTCTTTCCCCAACCCTCGGTTTTCATCAGTAATATACATATTCATGCTGTTCAAGGAGATCTATTATGCGCCACACTCATTAAACATTTATACACGAAAACTGAGAAACACTGTGTTTGTAGGTGTGTTTCAGTCTTTTATCATTCGAACTTACAAATTTGTAAACATAACGCCAGTTTCACTAATTTGATTCACATAAAAGCATTCCTTTTTCGGCATCCATTTTTGCATTTTATTATGGGGCAAGATGGTTTTGACTAATAAATGTTAGAACTTTATTACATATTTCCAGAAATCGACTAGATAAGTCAAAGCATAAACAAAGCTCTATGCACTGTGATAATTGAATGAATGGTCCTTTGCGTTATTCATATTATGCTTATTGTTCTCATGACAGAGCAAAATAATGTGAGAGCGGTGCACTGGTCACTGTGAAACTAACAAAATGAATAGAGATAGGCAAGACTGGAAGTAAATATGTTTGAGTTACCGTAGTAGAAAGCTATTGCGATAAACCGAAGAGCTAATAAGCTCCATAAAGTGATGGATTTACTTTTTAATGTATTAAATCCGAGCCAGATCCCTCAAGCTTGGTGTAATGCGAGAGGAACACTCATGGTACCAAAGCAATCGACGGATGATATATTTAGCTGACAACTCAGCTTGCAGCTCTCAACTTCCAGTTATAAACGATTAACTCAGTAAATATTCATAACAAAGACTTTAAATATTTGATCACCGCTATTGTCATATTGCAACCGAAGAAATGAAGCAAATTCTGTTTTAAGCTGACTTGGTTGGCTATTGTACAAAGAAAATACCAACCTGTAATGAGCATAGGGATTGGGAACGTTTAAACGAGGGTTAAAGAAAATGAATCAAGGCGATGATCACAGTCTAACCGTGCGTGCAGAATTCTTCCATCAGTCAGATCTGCTATCAAATGGAAGTAAAACTTCACTAATATCGGATGATCGAAGTGGCTTTTGTTATCTGCAACCCACCGTATGAACAGCCTCATGGATCCGTGTCTAGAAGAAGAACAAACACCATCTTCTACTCGTGAAATTCTTCAAAGCGACTGTTTTGCATACTCTCATTCTGCTGGGCATACATATATAGATACTGACAGCATATAGAAAAATTAGTCTCGATGGCAGTCGAATGTTTTATTTAAAGGCCTACAGAAATGAAGATTGCATCTTCCCGTAAATGCCAAACGAAGTATGAAAAACAAACGAGATGTTATGTAATCACAGAATTGTCAAAAACCGAAGAAAAAACGTTTCGGCAGTTTGTAATAAAGTCACGGATAATTGAAAGTGTGATACAGAGGCTATGAGTTAACTATAGTTAGGTATAACAAAATTAAAAGCGTCGAATCACTTGCAACACAAAGGTCATTTTAAAGGACTAACATAGCTTCAAATGAGGATTATGGGCCCATCAAAGACTTTTGCGACAAACCATTTTTCTTTTCTTATTGGACGACAATTTTAACTTATGCAACTCACCTCATTTTTTCTCCAACAATGAGTACAACCTAAATTTTTAATATCGTAATTATCTTCTACAGCGATTATTTCACTGATGCTCTTCAACACATTGGATTCCACCGTGATGTACATCGATTCTTCGATTCCATGTTATGCTCATCTAAACGTGTGTCAACAACTAAAATGATAGTACTTAAATCTAATGGTTCATGTTAATTCTGACCAACCATCGAGAACCAGTAGTCCACGGAAGTAATTATCTTGTAAACTAAAGGGTTCATAATCTCAAATGAAGGTAAATTGAAAACCCAGTCGCGTCCGTGGCTAAACCAACCAATACTGTGTTCGCGAAAACAATATCTCAAGACCCTAATGCTGCCCTGGCCTAAGGCCAGTAAGACAGACACACTACTTTGACTTATCCTTGACCGGTCCATCCGGACACAGCCCCCAACATCTATCAGTACAACAACTGTATGAGTACTTACACTACGAATTATCACACTATGTTGTGTCTACATGTTCCATTGTGCACTGTATTGACCTGATGAGAAGTACCGAAAAAACAAATCTGTCTTTGCCCCTTTCAGACTTCTCTGACATATAAATGAGTATATTTTATGACTTTAGCAAGCGTTCACCAAACAGTGGGTAAGCTATCAAGGATAGATTTTACTTAAGATAACAACCAAAGTTATAAACCATGTGATAATCTCCGCATGAAGTGCTAAGGTGAATCTCCGTGACCAACTGGCCAGAGTCCCATCACATCGTGATCATGTGCCACAAATTTTCGATTTTCGTCAACAGTTCAATTTAGAATAAGTATACGCTGCTGACGATGGTCGCTTTCTCCAAGAGCTACTTGAGGTGGTCAGTCGCAGAGTTATATTTTTGTTCTCTTTGGCGAGAATCGGTCCAGGGGTGCGTACAATTAATGAGGGCTCAATTTACACGCAATGAGTTAAGTCAGGATCCAGGGTTGTCAGTTGTTGCAAGACCATAAACAGAGCTCAACGAACAACGTCAATACGTCAAATACTGGCCTTCCTCTCATTACACATTCAACTTTCACACGGACGCGACACGATCGGGTTTTCATTCAAACCTTCATTTGAGGTTTAGTGATAAGTTATTGACCGCGGTTGGTTGTTTTTCCAACTTGGAAATGGTGTAAAATCGCCTATGATACCAACAAAAGGGGTCACACACATCTCCCTTTGAATACCCGTACTTTAAACCGAAGAAATTTGGGTTTAGATGTCAATGTTCACTGCAATTTTCGAATCAATTCATTATACTATGACACAGTCGATTCGGCCTACTGGTTATGAACCCTTCAGGAAAAAGGGAAGTCGGATTCAGTTTTGCTTACACATCATTGCTATTGAATAGTACTTATAGCTTTGAAGGAGGCTCATAGAAGACAGCAAACGGATTGAATAACTACGGCGATTCACGCGGTCCATAAGCTCAATACTGCACTATTCCATCACTAGTTTGGAATTTTTATGATATTCGTGTTGTTAGCGGGTGTTCAGTCATGTGGTGATGGAACACACAGGGTTTATTAATCGAGGCGGTCAGCAAAAACTCGGTTCTAGATCGTGCTGGTTGAACCAACGTCTATTACAGTTGTGATGGAACGGACAATTCAGTTACTTTTTCTAACGATCTCATTTATTTTTGGACACATTTGTTTAAATAGCATTCCATATCATTACATTTAGAATACCACGAAGTGGAGAACCAAAGATAGACATTTTGTGAGTGGAGGACCAAGTAACGATCATGTTTACTTAGGCCCTATGAATGAGGCTTGAAATTTATTAACCGATCCATTGCAACAGACACTGAAAGAGCGGTAGTTGAAATTTCGTGCTACCCGCATATTCATACGGGATTGCGCGTTTTACTTGTTGCGAGATGATGGTACCGGTCCCGAATGGGTTGAGCGTGTTTCTTGTTCTTTCCTTCGCACCAAGTTTACAACACGACGATGAAGTTCCTCTCGCGAGAATGGTTTCAATATGGACATTTCGGATGCTAGAGAACAGCAAGTGAAATCACAGTGATCTTTCACCAATTACATCTTACGATTGCGCATAACTCATAGCAATACATAAATGCAGCGTTGTTTACAGTTGACATAGCTCGCACGGACAGAAAAATAGTAAAAATGCCTAATGCAAAATAACACTATGAAATTACTCAAGTATAATTTGAATTATTTTTTTCTACCCGCCCTATTATATATTCTATATACATTAAATTATTTTAATTGGTCTATGAAACAAATCTCAGGAGATTTTTGTTTCCTTTTTGATAAGTAAACCTACGTTTCTCGTGTGTGAAAAAATCTACTTCAACAACGGGCCACGTCCAGATACATCAAAAATGTTCATACCTTATATCATTCATCTCATTGAAAATCAAAGTATGTTCCTAATCGCCGAAACTTTTGAAGCCATCACTTTAAAAAACTATTCTTTGGAAAACTACAGCTGTGCTCGTAACTGTTGAGCATTTGATTCGATTTTATTTGAATATAGGCGTTCTTAGACGCAGCTGATGACCTATTTTAAAGCTCATCCACGAATACCGGATGAATAGAGAAAAATGACAAAAATAACAGCCGTGTAGGACTTCCGTGTTTGTGGGCTGCCGATGAGCACTGGACTGCTGTTTAGAATTTTCTGACTCACCGGTAATGAGTACTATTTTTGTGCTCCCACTGAAGTTTGAATGACGAAGGACCCGGTTTGAACCGGATATCCATATCTCTGAACTACACAGCTGACGGACGCAGTCTCAAGAAAACAGTAAGAGTTCTTAAGATCCGTAATTATGACGAGCCCAATCGACTCCCCCATACATCGAATACTGCTTATTCTGATACTATTTTATAAAAGGCTTCGACACAAAAGGAAATTAGTCAACACACTTCTTTTTCTATAGGTGAGTCTTATAATGAATATGCGATTTTTAAGTGACCTTATTTGATCCTGCTTCACACATCAGATGATAGATCACGGTTCGTTTAACAAAACTCCGATGACGAGAAATGACTAGGAAAAGCATTTTATGATTGGAAGTTAAAAGAAACATATGAAATGTGCTTCTTACCTGCCTGTACGCGCAACTACAGAGTTGGATGTAATTTCACACACAGGTACACCTATCAGTTAGGTACAAAATTCTAATATACTTTGGAAACAAATAATATATAATTAATTGAACAGAAAAAACCGATTTCATGAAAATGATTTATCACTTACAATCCTCAAAGTCATCTTGCAGATTTGGTACATGGATCGTTGGTATTGGCCCGGAAGGAGCGGCAAGATTGTTGCCAATCAAAATAGATTTGGCCACATACGGAGCTTCCGGATCATTGACAGCAATAAATTGGCGCACAAGCAAAAGCTTGTTTACACGTTCCTCTATCAGGTTCAAATAGTCCAATAGATTGGCCTGAGTAACTCCCTCGGATGAGGCAAGGCGACGTGTGAGCATGGTGCTGATTAGAAAAACGGTTGCACAAATAACTATCGCCACTAAGCAAATTACCACAAAAATTGTTTTATTCGAACCTAAAGACTGCTTGCATAAGGCGGTTTTTGAAGATTCGGTTTGTTTATAAAATGTATTCATCCAGCAGAGCTAACGTGGTACTCACTACTGAGAAGCCTTATTGAGGCATGTCTACCAAATCCACTAGGAGTCAAACCCGGATACAGAAGGTTTTTAATCTAATACACTACTCAGTTCAGTTACACAGTCTAGTTCGAATTGGCCTTCTGGACATCAGAACTATTTGTTGACTCCTTATGAGAACCGAACGGCTGTACAGTGACACAGAGGCAGTCTAGTAATGAACAACATTTTGGCTCTGGTTAATAAATGTATCTCAGTTACGAATTATTTCTCGCAGTTTCGAAAACGTTAAAATCTTGTTACTCGATCAGCAAATATAGCAAGCACATTCTTCGCCGATTAGCTCAACGTCATGAAAAAATAAAAAAACAAAAGACCGAAGAGTTTGATAATCCGGAGAACCGATGTTTCGGCATATTTATATAACCTAATGGATCAGTGCACTCGATGTGTATAGAAGTTTGGTTTCACAGTGACCATCTTTTCCATACATCCGTAAATTTAAAACTCGATTTTGTTTAGAATGGGTGGGGAATCCGCTTGATAAAGTAAGCAATTAGATAACAAAAAGCAAGTATTTTAGTGGTTTAGCTCAAATGACTGGTGATTAAGCGATATGCGAACACAAATGACAAGCAATCAATGTTTACAGCGAAACCGCCTCGCTGACTCCTGGGTCTGGTTGTGGCTAACATAAGGCTCCCATTGTGAATCTCCAAGGAAACCCACCTGCTTTAGCTTATAGAACCTGGTAGTATCCTGTCCACATGAAAATTAATAATCACTTAGATTACTACGGAGATATTTGTTTCATGATTTGTTTAGCGCACTTAACTCGGATTCGTGAGGTGAGTACAATGTTTTCAAAAGAAACCCTCATTTTAGTAAGCCTTTTGGTAAGCCTCCGAAAGACAGTATGGTCGGAGCTGTGTGTCTAGGTTTGTGGCTGTTCACCCTACCCTTGCACCTCACGAAATGCTTCCATTCAACCAGAAGTCTCCAAAAGTCTCTGCTAAGGAAGCCCTACTCACTACTTTCACAGGGTGGAGGTGCTTCCGCACTAAGTCGAGCGGACGAAAAGTCAACAGCTGAGGCTACAACCGGGTTGGTGGACTACTAGCAATTCACCTCTGGGAGTTGACCAAAAAGCCTGATTCCAAACCAACCAAGAAGAGGGGTATGAACCACACACACATCCTCCTGGTTGTGGCAATGGTCACCGGCTCAATTAAGCATCGGGGGCGCTTTGGACGTCCAAACGGTGTATCTTCTGATGAACTGGACACCGGCTCCCAATGGATTGCAGTTTTTCCACACCGCCTCGCTCTCTAGCGAGTCAGACTTTGGCTAGCCGAGGACTCCAGTTGTTAATTCGCCAAGAAAATTCACCTGCCTTGGCCTGGACAACCTGGCAGTATTCTGCCCACGAGCAAATCGTGGAACGTTTCTCTTTTGTAAAGATCAATGTTCCGTGCTTTGTTTGGTACACCCTCTGAACTCAGACATGTGTGAAAAAACAGGTGCATACTCTTTTAGTAATGGAAGTGAAATGAGAAATCAGAAAGGTTTTCGGACCAGAGCTGATAACCCAATTCATTAAACCTTTGTTCCTTCGAGTACAATAACTCATAACTTTTGAATCGCTTCAAGTATCCAATACCCTACATTGTATTCTTATTCGAAGCCAAGGTTAGTCGAGGTAGTTGTCATTATCCGTTTGAAATCTGACCTTTGTAGGTACAGGTTATGGTGATGCACATTTTTGCCGAGTTTTTCACTGTGCTTCACACTCTCCATATTATCCTTTTTCCCACCATACAGTTAATTTATGGTGTCTACGTACCATTTATTTATAATATCATCCACGTCCACAGACATAAAGAACTTCCCTCGTTTATCTAATTTTATATTATCTAACCCCTTACCATGTCAAAATCCATTTCAATAAAAGCATATTTCATGAACAAGTAGATGAAAACTAAATACAGAAACGCTTTCATAAAAATGTCAATCAGAACCGAACCAGACTTTACCCACATGTTGCCTATCTCCTTTTCCAATGAGTCGTCCACTTAGATCTTTTGACTTTTATAAGGTAAGAAAACATGATTAATGATTAAACACGGGTGGACCACCTTCAGCTAAATAGCCACTGTAAATATTGATTCGCATTCCACTGATAATCGGGCAGTTACATCAGATGGGTTACATTAATGGGTGAGAGAGTGAGCGACAGTAAAGCACAGCTCTCGAAACTAGGTAAACGAGAGACATTGTCACTGGTAATTTTATTGCACGTAATGGCCCAAGCGGGGAAACAAACAAAAACATGCTTTTTATTTCAATTATGATGGCTAAATATATCAAATGATTAGTCATTTTGGTTTTGAATGAGAGCCAACGTTCTGATATTTAAACATTCAGGTTTCCAAATATGCATCCGATTTTATTGAAGGAAAACAGCATTGTATAGACACTTCAAGCTTTTGATGGCCTGTCCGATTCCCGAATTCATTCAACCAACTGCCTTACATGACTCTGAGATTTATGGAAATATCTGTTTCACCCACTTTATTCCGAACAAGCAATAAGTTGGAATTCGTTGATCGTATTTATCAAACCCAAGCGGAGATTTGACCAACTTTATCGTACTTTATAACTGACTATCAATTGCATGTTTCGGTCGAGTAGTCTGATAAGAATAAACTTTTTATTACATTGAACAGAAAAATAAGATAAACGAAATTTTCAAAGACCGTGTCTCCTTTTTCTAATGCGCTGAGACCCCAAGGAAAACAACTGCCACAGAATTTAAACACTTCTATAATTTCAAAAAATACAAGAAATACTTGCTGACCCCGAAAGGTTTGTTCCTTACAGCGTTTGACGTTACCGGACAATAAAAGCTGAGAAGTCAATTACCCGTGAACTAAGTCAACTAAACAAAAATGGTCACATGGACGCGTCCACTGTTATCCAACCCTTTCCCATGGCTCACGGTTGCCTCGGACGTATGGTCTGCCCAAAGTTCACAAAGACGGTATACCGCTACATCTTATACTCTCTATAATTGGGGTACCGCATCAAAAGTTAGCACGTTGGCCGGTCAAACTGATAAACCCAATCAAACACGAGTTTGCAGCACACAGCTTGAAGGACTCGTTTGACTTTGCGGAAAAAAGTGTGACGCCTAATATCTCCAAGACACACATGATTCTGTTTGACGTCGCTAATGTTCCTTTTCAAGAGACGATTGATAGTGAGCTCTCGTCCCACCTTACCATCTCAAGAAAATCCTGTTATTGAGTACAAAATACATGGTAGCTTATATGGATAAGTTGACGATGTAGCAGTGGAAAGCCCACTAGGACCAGTGTTAGCCGATATATTCAAGGGACAACGAGAAGAAATAAAACCCCGTTAATCAATACACGAGACCTTTTTCTAAAGGTGTTATGTTCACGACAATTTTGTTGTTA